CTATAGAAGAATGCAACTGTCGCAAAAACCAGGATTTTAGTAGTAGGCGGCATCCCCTGTGAGTTTTGAGTAGGTGGAACTATTCAGCTTTTGTTCTTTCTGGAATTCTCTACTAGGGTTGTGGAACTAACGACTCTATTAGAAAGTAGAATTACCAACTTTTACACGAAATTTCAAGTGGATGAGATCAGTCGAGTGGTCTTTGGCTTTGTGGAAGATCCCTCCCACTGGATCATCATGCCCTCTACGTTCCGGCTTTTCAAAAGGCGATCTAGAAGAAGAATTCAAAAAAAAGGATAAGGCTGCAAGAAAGAACCTAGAGAGGAGGTTCCACTGAAAAGTCTGCATGGCCCTTATGGGCTAGGCCACACACGTGCTACAATGGCAATTACAATGGAAAACAAGGTTGTAAGATGAAGCGAATCCAGAAAGATTGCCTCAGTTCAAATTGTTCTTTGCAACTCGGGAACATGAAGTTGGAATCGCTAGTTGATCCAATAGTAAGGAAGTTACGCATGAATGTAATGCTCATAATTTCCTTCTAGACCTAGTTCTCAATTTTCTTTTTTATTCATTTGTCACATATCAGTATAGGCGAATAAAAGATAATGATTTTCGTAGCGCAGTAAAGAATAAGATAAGAAGAGGTTTTAATAAAAAATAAGGGGAAAATTTGAGTTTGAAAACTTATATGCAATTAACCCTCTTTCTTTTGGTTAACTCAAACAATTTTAAAATGAGAACTTTACAAAAAGTTATCTGTACTGTTCATTTTAATGAAAAACCACATATTTACACTAAAAAATCAATCATGGTACTATTCACTTTACTATTTATTTTATCATTATCGTTAAAACTCAAAGTTTTCAAGCCATTTTCATTAGTTTTCATTTTAAAAATTAAAAGACAAGAAAAACGATGCGTTTGCTTCTTGATTTTCGAGCTTGGGTTTTGGATAAATTGTTTTGCGTTGTCTGTTGTATAATCTTATATTATTTTTTACTATAAGAAATTACGCGCACAAAACATTGTTATCCCTAAGTGAGTTTTGCACGTCAACTCGAGATACCACAATTTCGTTTTAAATTAGTAATACAATATCATATAAAAATGAAAAACATACATAATATTATATTATGATTTTTTCAAAAAAATGATATTTGAGATTGTTAGAATTCCTCACTTTAGTCATTGAGATTAAAGTCGATAGAAGTGTCATCTGGGATGTCTAATGTCAATCATTTTGGTCATTTCGTGAAAAATCTCCATTAAATAGAAGAAAGTTCAACAAGAGGAGTTAATTTGACAAAATAGCCTCAACACAACATAGATTTTTTACCGAATGACCAAAGTTATTAACCGTGAACAATCTCAGGGAACATTTATATCAATTTTAAATCTCAGAGACCAAAGTGAAGAGTTATGTCAATCTTAAAGACAATTTTGTCCAAAAATCCTTATATTATTGACTAGAAACGTAATACGAAGAACATACAAACGCAAATGGTGCAACTGGATGTACAGTACCAATAACCAACTCAACAAAGTTTGGAAGTTTCATTTTTGGTTCGATTAGCGAAGAGATTTTTCAGTATGTTAAAAATATAATTCAGTAAACTAAGTGACATAATATAAGTGATTGAATATGTAATTTTTTATTTTTTATTTTATTTTTTTATTTTTTAAACACTTCCATTATAACACTTATTAGAGGTCGCACTTGGTGCGATGGCAAGTGCCTTCGCCCATGAGCGGTACGTCTCAGGTTCGAGACTTGGGAGCAGCATCTCCATAAATGGGGGTAAGGCTAGCCGACATTCACTTCTCCCAGACCCTGCGTAAAGCGGGAGCCTTATGCACTGGGTATGACTTTTACTTCCATTATAACACTAAATTGTACTGTTAGCTGTGATATGTTGACGCGGCATTGAATTCTTTTTGGACAAATTGGCTGTGGAATGTTGAATAAGTAACTGTTGCATTGCACTTTGAGTTTAAAGTGGAAGCAACAATTCGAAGTACACTCTTTATTTGTTGTATTCTGTAAAATTCCCGGATGAATTTATGTATATAAATTCATAAATATTCACTTTTAATTCGTATTTTTCGGGGTTTGATCAAACATGTCATGCAATTCAGATGCAGAGATTGCAGCAGCGGCTGCTCCATCGGCATCTGCATCTCAAGAAGTTGCAGAAGCCGCATCGCCGTCGGTCTTTGATTCGGCTTCTTCCGCTGTCACCAACTCCGAATCCGAACACAACCCATTACCGCCGCGGCCTAATCCGGAAACCCCAGTTGGGTGGCCGGCCGACGGAAAGCTCAGCCTCGAATGGATTCGAAACCTTATGTCCGTTTTTGATTGGGCATCCAGAAATCTCGACCCGACCCAGTTGCCAGACGTGTTTCCGGTGGAAGTTTTTGATAGCTTGGTCCTTTGCGCCTCCAAGATCCTCCACAAAGAGGCCAATTGCGTAGCCGTCGATCAGTTAGGCTCGGAATCCACGGTGGTCGTCGTTGGAGACCTTCACGGTCAGCTGCACGACCTCCTTTACCTTCTAAACGATGCTGGGTTTCCATCAGAAAACCGATTCTTCGTCTTCAATGGCGATTACGTTGACAGAGGGGCTTGGGGGCTTGAAAGCTTCTTGATTTTATTAGCCTGGAAAGTGTTTTTGCCTAGAAGTGTTTATCTTTTGAGAGGAAATCACGAATCGAAATACTGCACTTCAGTTTACGGATTCGAGAAGGAAGTACTGACAAAGTATGGGGATAAGGGGAAGCATGTGTACCGAAAATGTCTTGGGTGCTTTGAAGGTCTTCCCTTGACCTCCATGGTTGGTAAATATGTATACACTGCTCATGGCGGGCTGTTTCGCAGCACGCCGGCCACCCCCAAGAGATCGAAAGGAAAGAAGAATAGGAGGATATCTTTCAATCCTGAACCCAGTAGTACATTGTCTCTTGGCTCCTTTGAAGAACTAAATAAGGCTCGAAGATCGGTTCTTGATCCTCCGTGGGAAGGTTCGAACTTAATTCCTGGTGATGTGCTGTGGTCGGATCCCTCCATGAAGCTCGGCCTTTCTCCGAATAAAGAGAGAGGCATTGGTCTGCTTTGGGGCCCTGACTGCACTGAGGATTTTCTCAAGAAGTTTCAACTCAAGGTAATAGCAAGATTTGGAATCTACATTTCTAGTGTTTGGCAATTGAATGTTAGTTTTATGGAAAAATGCATGTTTTAGGATATAATGTTGATACTTTTATCTTTAAGAATATGATTTTTCTTGTCTGCTTCATGGTGAATTGCTTCTTGTTCGTTCGTCGTTAAGTGATGCTTTCAATTGATAACGTAATGCAACTGCAAAGCGTTGCATGCTTCAATTGCAATCTAGAGACAAACCACGTTTTCCTTTTTGGAACAGAACTTTTGATTAGTTTTGGTACTGTTGTGTTACAAGTGCAATGATGGTTGGATGGCAATTAGCCAATAACTATTTTTCCTTTTGAGGTAACGTTTTATATTCAGATGTGGATTTACAAGTTTGGCAAGTCATTCAATTGAAGTTTGAGGGTCGAAAAGGCGTCAATGTAGCATTTACTAGCCATGCCAAGGTGGTTAGTCAAAATAATTCACCGGATATTTTTGTATGTTCACAACGACAGTTAAGGCTTTAACTATGAAGGCTTACATATGAGCATGGAGGTGGTTATGGGTTTGTTGTCGCTTTGATAGTTTTTAACCACCTTGGCCTTGGCTCAATTGGTAGATGGTTGGTGGGGTTCGACTATGTATTTCGTTAAATTTTACCAATTAAGGAAAGAAAATGCGTAGTTTTAAATTCTTTTTAAAAATGACTGGCAGATCTATTGTTTCTAAACCGCACAGAGGCTGTTGCACTTTACATTTCTCTCACACGAAGCACGTGATGATTTCTTTCGACTCTCTTGTAACATTGACTTGTGTTGTATTTGCATGACTAACAATCGTAATAGAGATGCAATACTAAGATCTGGGTTATTCTATATTGTTAAAACTACAGTTGATTATCAGATCGCATGAAGGCCCGGATGCACGGGACAAGAGGCCAGGTCTTGGTGGAATGGATAACGGGTACACCATAGATCACGTTGTGGAGTCCGGGAAGCTCATTACTTTATTTAGTGCTCCAGACTACCCACAATTCCAGGTTTGTGCATGATCCCTTTAGATTGGTATTCGTTGAGTTCATTAACACAGTTTTAGTGAATTCCTTGCATAACTGTTCATTTATGGGATGTTGGCAGTACCCAGTTTTCCTTTTGCCAAATTGTTCCAAGTTTTGATGAGGTTTTACATGTTTCCTTCTAAGATCCTTCTCCTTTTAAAGTAGATTGGGTGCTGTTAAGCATCTCATTCAGAATGGTGCTTTTGTGTATGTCATGCAGCACGTGAAACGTGTTTCTGCTTGTTAATGTATGGCTATTGATTATTCGTTTAACTATTCCATCTCCTTTGAGTTGTGTTGTGAACTTGTGATCCTTTCTTAGCTCTTGATTCAGCCTTCCAGTTTATTATGTTGTGCTCTCGTTCTCGCGGGACATTGGAACCGAACTCACACCATAATAGGCTAATGTTTTCGTATTTCCTGTGATGCAGGGAACAGAAGAGAGGTACCGAAATAAAGGGGCTTACATTGTTCTGGAACCCCCTAACTTTGATGATCCTGTGTTTCATAGCTTTGAAGCAATCACTCCAAGACCAAAGGTAATTCTTATTACTGGCCTATGATTCATAAGTTTCTAGTTTCGCGTCGGAGTTTCTGTTCTTACTTGGAGCTGCCATTGCAGGCAAATCCGTTTTACGATTTCGAAGAAGTGATTGATTCCGATGAAGAGTTAGACTTGGCATCAATGGCAACTAGCCCGTGAGGGTCATCGGTCACCTATTCAGTTGGTTATAATCTCACCAATTTTCGCCAATTTGTCGCCAATTTTACAACCCGTCCATGATGTTACTCAAATTTACAGAATGCATTTTCTTTTGCCTTGGCAAATGCCCTTTCAAAATGTACAATAGTATCTTCAGAACATGTACATCTTCAAGAAAATGAATGAATGAGGATTCCTAGGCATGTTACCATGTAACATCAACGATTAAACCGAACATGTTGGTAAATAAGTACAACGGTTAGGTTATATCCTGTACTAAATGAGTCAACATTAAGGTCCGGATGTTCCGTGGAACATGTGGATTATAACCAACTAAACTAACTTGGCCGGATTACGGTCGGTACGGTCTGTCTAATTTCTACAGAGGAGCCTGATGGTCAAGGATGGACACCGCGAAATGCTACTGATCCGACTGCTCAAATGGAACACGAACAAACAACTGACCGTGCAGGGTGACCACGGCTGATGTCTGGTGCGGATCAATTCTTGATGGTAAGGTGACAGCCTGTTCACAAAGCCAAATACCAGGTCAATAAAGCCAAAGAGAAAGTACGAAGTCCGATCTTTATGACCGTGGTCTGTTTAACACGAACACAGCAGCCACGGTGCCTAACTTTGGAAGCGAGTAGCTTACAAGGGCATCATGGTTTTACATCTTGTATTCGATTTTCCAAGGAAGATTCGCTTCTTACATAGTTCTCAAGCAACCCTAAAGTTTCTTCGTTTTTCTTGAAACTGTTCACTTCTTTGTTTGCTAAAAGATAATCTCGTGGTGACCAGTTTCGCCATATCATCAAAGAGATCTGATTGATTTTCATTACTTCCTAATCTGAGTAGTTTCTCTCACACGCAAAACCCAAAAGAGGAAAGAAAAAGAAACGGACCTTTTTGAAAGCTGTGACACCCCATGGATTATCAGGATGCTCAGGTTCTCCAGTTATAACCAATCGCCCAGCGGGATCAGATTGAACACGAACCTGAGATTGATTTCCGAAAGAACAAGATAAGTAATATAATTGCCGAAGTCCGAAACAGAAACCTAATATTTAATACATCAAACAAATATCAAGCAGGCCTTTCTATGCAAACATATACTCTACCAAGGCATAATTTAACAAAAACTCTCAAAGAAACAGCCTCGAGAAGTTATCAGGAGGCTACTTGCTGGGTTCCTCTAGTCTCACATTTAGTAAATAAGGGCAATCAATGAAGTTGGTTCACTTTTAAACAGTTTTTTGCTCCTTTTCCCCCCAGCTCAAAACAGTTAGTTGATTGCAGCACAAATTGCCAGCGAATTTGTCCGATCATGCTAATTCCTGTTCTTATAACATGGCTTATGATTATCTGCCATTCCATCCTTAATAAGAACATAACAAAACAAGCACTAGCATACAGAGTCTTCTAAAAGAATATACAAATTATCTCTAGAAGAATGTAAAGAATTGTACAGTAGCAAAGCAAAAGGAAGGAGAACCGCAGATTCAGGAATATGCATACTTACCTCCTCCCGTAGAAGACCTGGAACTAAAGCATATACCTCAAAACAATCTTTCTGCAAACATGACATATCTCAATATACTGGATTGGTGCTTAAAAATTCACAGATGCAAATTTCCTTGTGTTTAAACTTCAAAAATGTAGAGGATAAACTTACAGTTCTCTGCACATTGATCTTCACCCAATCCGCTGGAGGTCCAAGATCAACCACATCTACATCCAATCTGCACAAACAAACACAATAAAGCCAAGTTAACACTACAGTAAAATGTCAACAGAGTACTCTGTTAATGAATAATTTCCTAATATATTATGTAGACAAATGAAAAAAAAATAGAACATTGTCTCAACTGCAACTTAGATGCTTTAGTACGTGCAGCTTTTACCACATGCTCCACATAAGGTGGCTTCTTTCTTTTAAGTGAACCTGATGTCAACGTACAAAATCTGAGGTGAGAAATTATATACCAACTACATAATTACAAACGACACCATTTCCATTGAGAGGCCATACCGATGCTTTTAAGCTGTTTTTCACGCTTTTGCAAAGAATTTGCATTTTTATCCTAAAGAAACAGAAGAGATTTTAATGCTCTATCAGAACCAACTTCCACAAGGAGAGTGTAAAACACAGAAGACAATGAGAGCAAAAATCTTTAGACTTTCCAGACCTTTATGATAGGGTCACTGACTTCACCATTCCCAGTGATACGTTGTGAGTGCCAACCCTGCATGGCACGTGCCGCAGCATCCCTTCTTGCTCGACCTGATCCTGCAGCCTAATTACGCCAATCATGCATCAAGTATTTGGCTCGTTGAAGAAACTCCTTGTTGAGCAAATAATTACACCAATTTTCAAGGTTGACATGCAATAGTTCATTGTGTAAAAATATTTCATGTGAATAATAATGAATATATACGTTCCCGGCAGTACATGGATACCATTTTCATTCAATGAAACAGTTTATCATGAGATGAACAAAGTGGCATAAACACCATGCCACCTAAGAGGGATAAAAATAAACGCCACAAAATCATCTAATACAGTAATACACAAAACATTACCAAAAGATCCCAGGCCAAAAGATCACAACTTACCTGGTTATCGATATTCATAGGCTCTGGCTGGGAAGAGATTGGTGGTTCAGTACCAAATTTATGCCTTTCATAATCTAGCAGTGCCTGAAGTCACACAAGAACAACCAATAATAAATAACATATAAACATTATGATCTGGAATACTCCAAGGAAGATATTTAACAAATCACTGTTAAAAGGGGATTTGACATAATGGACTTGTATACTGAGGCAACCACACGTGACTCGAATAGAAGCTTTTACAATTAATTTCCAACACAGGCCACTCAAGCACACATCCACATGGTCAACCATCAAGAAGATGGACAGACCCAGATTTTCTCAATCATAGCAGGCAATTGAGTCTACGATTATGGTTGCCCAATCCCATGTTTCTTGATCCTGTCTCAAATTTGATCAGGTGGGAAATTACAAACACATAGCAACTAATAACCTACGGAGAATCTATAAGAAAGGTGCAGCTTGCATGCCAAGTGTGTGCACACATACCTTCTCATAGAAACCTCGAAATGTCCATGAAACCGTAGTGCATGTCCTGCAGCAGAAATAGAAAAGAAACTAAAATATCTTTTAACACATGGTAAACTATACTGGACGTTTTTAACCCACTCCCTCACCCCACCCCTTTTCCACTTTCCAAGACAGCACAAGGGTTAAATATGAACTAAAGAAATTTCACACCTAGAAACACGGTAACTTTACTTCAATTTTTTATCTTTTGCACAACAGCATGCATAGTAAGCAGATATAAACATCACAAAGTTGACCTTACAAATAACAAAGGAGAACTAAATGACCAACAACGTATTGCCAACAAAGAAGTCCCCCAATTTCAGTATAATCTTTTACAGAATTAAGGAAAACTATCAGTACTTCTAAAATTTCCACATCTACAGGTAATGAAGCTTGCACTATGTAAATAATAATGGAGTTGAACAGATGTTGTCCTTACTTTGGAGGTTTAAAGGCTTCTCCCACTTGCCGCCACAACTTATTTGAGGTCACCTACGGTAAGCAGACAGATCATATATGTGATTGTAACAAGAAAAGAATATGGTTCTGGAAATGAAAACTCATAATATATAATAGTACATATACTAACATATGGACCTTTACGACTAAAAATGCACATTGCATACCTTATCATAGCCACCCAATCTGATCACACCTCTCCAAAGCCTTGTACCAATAAAATGTCGAAATAAATAACATTCATATAATTAGTAAACAAGACAGAATCATTAAAATGACAAGTAAAGACTTACTTAAGGCAATTCAAACCCTCTCCATAAAACTTTGGAGGTTTCAATTCCATGCTCCTCTCCTTAAAGAAATTTTCCACTTCCTTCATGAAAGCTGATTGCTCCTCTTCTGTCCCAGAATCATTACCTTCATACACGTCACTCTCATCTAAAAGGAACATGCCCTTTGAGTTTGAGGTTCCATTATTTTTGGGTGTAGTAATATCTTTTTCATCCACCTTATTCTTCAATTCTTTCCCATTCCCAGAATCAGCTTTTACATCAGAAGATCCGGCATGAGGCGTAACAGGTTCCTTATGACCCACAGTTACACTTTCTTCAGCAGCACCACCAGATTCCTGCTCCGGCACTTGAGTAACTTCAGTTTTAACAGTCTCTGGAAGACTTGTGGAAACAGCGTTGTCATCATCACGACCATGATTATTACTTTGAGGCAAATCCTGGGCTTCAGCACTCTTGGTATCAGCTACGGGTTTAGTACCTGGCTTGACTAATTGTTCATCCTCATCCTGTAAGGCTTCAGTATCTGGCTTAACTAATTGTTCGTCCCCGCAATTTATTGTGACTGAAGGAGAAGGCAAATTTTGACCAGATTGGTGTGAAATGGACTGTGGTTCTACTTCTACACTAGTTTTCTCATCAGTTGTCATCTCAACGTCTGTCTTAACGGGTAGAGTTTCGCCATTTTCAGCAGGAGGATTCGGGGTCTCCTGAACCGGTCCAGAATCTCCTGAATTCGGAGAATTATTCTGCTTGTTATGATCATTTTCCGGTTTCCCATTATTTAAAGCATCAACTGGCAATTCTTGTCCAGTTTCATCCTTCTCTTCGGTATCACTCATTTTCCTAAGTATAAAAGCAGTAAACTTTCCACTCATCCAACAAAAAATAAAGCAGAAAAACTAAAAAATAATTAAAATATTTAGGGCTACAAACAAGAGCAACAGGCAATTATATCAGTCAAAAGTAGAATCCAACGAATTAATTAATTATCTGCGCTTCTAACGCAAACGATTGTATCAAAATATTTGAGGTTTCAGGCGGCCTTCGCAAAAAATCGTTTCTTTTTTTTTTTTCCCCGCAAATTAGAAGAAATTCAGAAACTGGGGAAATAAAAAGCAGGGGATTGTAGGAGCTGCGTACCTGGGTTGGAATTGTAGAAGATGAAGGTCCAAATTCGTGCCCTAATCCGACGTAAGGTACCACCAGAACGAAGAACCCTAATTCTTTTATTTTTTTTCTATTAAATATTCAGCCGATTTCTTTCTATTTATTTTTTTTAATCGGCCCAGAAATTCGACTCGTTTAATTTCCCCTCTCGGGTGAATCTGAAGCTTCGAGGTTCAAATTGTGACGTAACGACGCCGTTTGACTTTCCCCCATGTCTTACATTTGCCAATTAATTAATTTTTCTTTCCACTAAAATAATATTTTCTCCTTTTCACTGAAATAATATTCTCTTTTTACACATGATGATATCGTTAGTTTTCTCTCTCATATTAATATTATTATCATTGATTAGGGCTCTGAATTGTTAAATTTTCTTTAGGAAGATAGGATACATCATTTTAAATTCAGAAATGACCCTGCGATGTATTTTGTCATCTTGATATAATATGCAGTGCTAAAATATTATATCCGTTAAAAAGTAATGATCAAAATTGTCATCCCTTATATTATAACAAGTGAACTGTTATACCATTTGACGTATTTCAGTACCACTTAATAATGTTTTTCGTAAGCGATCAAGTGGGAACGAGTGTGCCAGAAACAATTGATTGAAAAATGAAATAAAGTGTCTTCATTATCTGTGTCTAATCACTAATTTTATTGAGAAAGTATGAATGAATTAGAGAGATGTTAATTTACAAACATGATTACGCCACTTTCTGTTGCTCCAGATGAAGGTTTTGACAACTAACCTTGTAGTTAATACAACAGGTTAACACCAACTTTCCCAGAAAATGAGTAGAAAAAGAAAAAATAGTGAAGAGGGAGCTGCATGAAGGTGGACATAACCAAAGTAAGTAAGATCTGATCAAAGAATTTTCAATCGAAGATCGGCGTGACCAACCCGGGCCTTGTGCCTTTCGAAAAGATCCTCTAGTGCTGCAACGAACTGACCGTGCACTTCGTTCACCTGGAAAACAAAAAAAGTATAAAAGGTTGTACCCAGTACACAAGGCTCCCGCTTTACGCAGGGTCTGGGAGAGGAAAACAAAAAAAGTATGAACTCAGAAATTCAGCAGCATCGATATTAAGCTACAAACTTGTGAAAATATGTAACTCCGTCGAGCTGCAGCATCCAGCTGAGCCCACTTAGTGGGATAACCTGGATAATGCATTGTTTTTTACGAATAAAACTTCGCTTACATGTATTTGCAATGAAACTAATCTATATCTGTAGGTTTTGAAAACAATAAAAGATCTATAGATGAGAGAAAGTCCTCAAGTAAAACCGCTCTGTAGAAGATAAGAGATGTGAATCGAATGGAGTTTCAATAGCGAGAACAAAACCAAAGATGGAGATGGATGTGGAACGGAACAGGCATTACGCTCTTTTTTTTTTTTCGCGGGGGGGGGGGGGGGGGGCGGTGGGGGGGGGGGGGGGGGGGGGGGGGGGGGGGGCAAGATTAAAAGCATTCATTCAAGCATGATGCGCATAGAAGACGAAGACCAGAGCAACAGAAAGAGTGCAATACAGTAATTTGAATACAGTTCAAGCACCGGTTCTCCATGATTGATTGATGTTCACAGGGGACTAAACACGTATGTTATGCTCAGTTGTTCTGGGGGAATCCATACCTCTTCCATCGTGGGTTGTGATGTTTTCTTGAGTTCAATTGGTTTTCCGACCACCACATGCATTGGATGACGGTAGGGTACCGGAGTTCTGCAATGGAGAAGCATGATATGAACCATTAACAGTTACCAAAAACGTTAGTGCTGCTAAATTTCAATCATAAAAATGTACAAATATACATAAAAAATGAGTAGGTCGAACGCGAAAATTGAATTATATAAGTTTCTTGTTTGGTTAGTGAAAAGAAACGAAGGCTTCAACAGTAGTCTAATTTCTTCTCAATCTAATGGGAAATTTTTTCTCCGGAATAGTTTTTCCTTTCGGTTTCTCCAGATGTACTTTCATAAGCTAATTGCAAAGATAAAAAGTTCTACACATGAAGAGTACTATTAAGAAGAAGACAACGGCTCAGAATGCATACCCAAATACTCCCCAGAAGAAAATTGGGGTGAACTTGATAGCTCTAGCAAACTTCAAAAATAATTCTCCACTTGGCTTCCACCACTTGTAAACATTTGACTGCAACATGGACGAATCGTAAGAAAAGAAATGGAAATATCATTCATTGTTAGATGAAGCATATGCATGAGAGACAAAGAAAAGTACAACCAACAACTAAAGATGTAATAACATAGTGCCCCTTTTATAATAGGAAAACTAATGAAAAGGGCTTGAAAACTTTGAGTTTTAATGATAAGGACAAAATAAAGGGTAAAGTGAATAGTACCAGGATTGACTTTTTAGTGTAAAAATGTGGTTTTTCGTTAAAATGAACAGTACCAGGTGCTTTTCGTTAAAGTTCCCTTTTATAATCTCGAAATACGAATGTGTGAAACGACGCAGAAATTGCTAGAAAACTATTGAAAACAATAGAGGTTGAACCAGAAAAGCCAGCAAACAGATGCAAAACAGAGACTATGCAACTGGCTAACTTTGTAGATGAATAAACAGGTGGAGAAAAACTAGATAGAAAATGGTGATACCTGACCAAAGCAGAAAACTGGAACCAGGGGATGGCCCAGCTCCATGGCTATGCGAACAAAACCTCTTCTCGACTTGAGAAATGCTATCTACAAATCAAGCAACGGATTAGCAATTAGAAACGGAATTACAATTGAGAAAACAGACCAGCTAGTTTATATAGCAACAGATGTCTTAATGAAAAAGTACAGCAAGAGCACAAGAAAGATTTTGCAGATGTAAACCTCAGTGCCATGCTCCATGTAAAATGTCTCCTGCACTCCACCAGGCACAATGATGCAACTATAACCAGCGGATAGGTGGGAGATAAAATTACTTTTTGTGGCCGGTGCAAGACCCAACCATGTCCATATATGTCTCAAGAATGGTGTGTAGAACACCTAAACATAATTCCCACAAAAAGTATAGCTAAGAAATTGTAGAAAAACGGTTGAGACATAATATGAAAAGAAGAAAGGATAGTGCCAACGAAGCAAAGAAGTCTTACCGCGCTACTCGCAAGGGCCTTAATTTTGGGGAGAGGCAAGAACCCAGTAAGGTCAGCAAGTGCAACAACACCAATTGGCAAAACCGAATGTGGTTCATAACCAAAGACTGCATCAACCACAGAGAGCCAAATGCAACTCAAATTATTAATTCATCAAAGCTTCTAATAGGATTAAAAGTACATTGGGAAACATACACAAGACCAGCCACAAACTTTTACTCAAAAATAGAACTGGAGGGACACTAAACCCGTGGTTTATGTACTTCAGTTCTATTTCTAATTAAAATTTTGTAACCAGTTCTACTTCCATATATCCGCGATGAAAAGAAGAGATACCATAAGCGCGATTGGGATCAAAGGCATTGATATCCTCTGCGTACAGCGTCACAGGAAAATAAGCACAGGCATGCTTACATATGTACCTGAAAACCCAATTCAAACCAAAGTAAATTACTGTAAACTTGTCAGTTCAGTTTTGTGCAGGACGTCCTGTCTTGAACTAATCCGATACTATAAACCAAAGTTAAAAGCTCTAAACGATTATTCAACATTCAAATACAATCAACGTCACTAAATAGGATCAAATTTGAAGTCAAAAAATTGCGCACATGACGTTCTGCACAGATAAATCTCTCAGAAAGTAGCATTGCTATTCCCCAGCAAAAACACTAAAAAGGGTAAACTTTTACCTGGAAAGTGATCTTCCTATTTTGCTCTTTTCATCAACTGGGATGATCATAAACAACACAAGCAACCCAAATACACTGAAAATTTCAAAATTTTCAGCAAATAAATCAATAAATTAAATGACCAAAAATATTAGAAAGAAAAAAATAAGGGTTTGAGAAAGATGAACACTGACAGAAGGGCCTTGGAAAATGGAAGGAAGAATATAGTGAAGAGAATCAGACCCACGTTGAAATGGATTGTACCCAGCCAAATACCCAGAGCCACAAACATGTGCAAAACATTGGACCCGAATTTTTCCCTGCCTTTGAAAACCGCCATTTTCTGATATTCTTCCTCCTTCATCTCCACCATGTCAGCTTCTTCTGCAATTTCTTCGCAACTTTTCTTCTTGTTGTCCTTCGGAGCAATTTAATCCGACCCAATAAATTAATGCGTAAATAAAGATTGAAACTTGGTTGGGATCGAGACGATGTGGTTAGTGTTGAGTAGCATTGGTGTCACCGTCGCAGCTGCCTTCTCTCTCTGTTTCTGGGTCTTTCTCTGTTATACACATCATTACATCACTTTCTATCGGTGATGTATATAAAAGATCAAGGCGTCAGAAAACGTACTCCTCACCCATGTAACAAATTTGGTAACTATAACCCCCCTATGACAACGATTCCAAAAGCACTTTTAAGTCTCCTTTTAAAGAAATACTAAAAACTCGATTGAGTGTGGTTTTAAAATAATTGAAAATATTTTTGGTTAATATATTTTTAGAAATAATGTTTAGTAAAAAGGTTAGTAAATCCTGTAAAATCACTTAAAGGGTTTCATGGAATAAGAACATAACTAGTGCTTCTTATAGAAAGCATTTCAAGTGGTTTTGGAATCCAAAAACAATTTCTTTAAAAGCGTTTTCAGTCATTTTAAAAGCACATCCAAACGAGCCCTAAATATGTACTTATTGCATGAAGTACTTTAAGTGTTTTTACAAATAATACTTAGATTTTATTAAAGATTGGTTTTAAAAATATTTTCATCAAAAGTGTTTTCAGTAATTTTAAAAGCACTTCTAAAAGATATTAGATAATGTCGTTATTTGATGATGAACTCGTTCTATATAAGTTGCTCTACTATCATCTATGTGAAATAAAATTATTATCGGAGTACTAATTAGTTAATAAGTTAATTTGATGTGAACTTCTTTGGGCTCCTGATGCAAATTAATAATCAAAACTATGCATTTTTTTTGAAGTCCTGGATCAAGATCATGTTGTAATATAATCGCTTATCTGTTTGATTGTTGTCTCAAACATCTACATTCTATATCAAATGCTTATGTTTATCTATTTATTTGCT